TATCACAATTTCATTCTGTAATTTTGTCTTTGTTTTTAATTTTATGTATATTTTTCCTCATCAAGGCAACAGCGATCTGTAAATAGTTTGTATGTTTGATGATGCTGTCTTGGGTTTCTGTCATGAAGCTCATGTGTATAAGCATCTTATGTAAAATTTCAATAAAAAGCTGATCACAAAAAAAAAAAAAAACAGCAAGGAGCCCATGTGGAGCATGACGTAACTCACATTACATTAAACACATTAGGCCATTAAAAAAAATATACTGCATTGGCACCTGAAAATCGGGATTTAACGGGTTTATTTATCTCGGACTTGACCTTCTTAAGAGTCCGGATGTCACATGGTGTTGTTGCCATGGAAACATATCACTTAACCTCACCCGGTTGTCCTCGTCGGGGTTTCCCCCGGACGTCTCACGGTGCTTAACTTTCAGCACCTCGGACAGCGACGCGGCGTCAAAGGTGACGTTCGACATTTTAAAGCGCGTAACCATGGCGACCGAGATAGAGCTAATTAAGTTTTATTTGCGTCTTCAAAAGCTGCGACGCAACTAGACACATAGATTGAAAAATGACACTCAAACTGAAAACAAGCCACGTACAACATTTCAATTTTCAACGTCTTAAAAAGAGGCGGCTCTTCCTACGTACTCAAAAATACTCTCGCACAACAAATACTGACGCACACACGCTGATAGGGGACAGCTAAAGTCTTCACTGTGTCACTTAAAGTCGCCACATATTCAATAAATTGATACAAAATGGGTCAAATTAGTTCACCTACCTGAGTCCATGTTGTTCAAATCGATCCAGCGCACCTTGCTGGGACATTTCTCTGGCTGGGTGGGAAGATCCGCCCCCCTGCTAAGCTGATTGGCTGGATTGTAATTAATAGCGCGCATTTGATTGGACTACTAATGTGCCAATTAGAACTTGTAGCACAAAAAGACAAGAGAAAGTCATTGCTGTTTGAAAATGTACATGCAATAACTGTCCCATTTGATAACTGGTGGTGAGAAAATTAAATGTATACATACAACTATTTACTATTTAAAGTGTGAGGCTCATTACATGTTTTCAGAAGAGTGAGTATTACAAGTTACCGGGCAGTTTTTGAATATCAACAATATATTTATAATGATAAGTGTAAAAATGAGCCTCATCTTTTTGCTTACAGAAACATTTCAAGTCCTGCAAGCCTACAAATATTGACAAATATGGCATAAATTGCTAGAGAGCATTATTCTGAACATCTAACAGCTCCCCCTGCAGGATGAAGGACATTACTGGAAGGAGAATGGATATGAGATACTTACACAGCATGTGTGTCATAAAAAATAATCAAATGATTAATTTCTTTAGTTTATAGAAATTACTTGAGAATATTTGACAGAGATTTGTTCTCAAAAATGTATAATGTGTAATGACCATGTCAAGACTTGTGACTGACGCCTTTGAAACTCTCCCAGTGCAGCTCCGTGCTTCTCTTATGACTCCTCTTACTCAGTATGACGCTGTTTACATGCAGAGAAGTCACAGAGCTGTTCTATCCGTTCATAGGGTGGAACTGGTGTGTTTGAGAAGTCAATGTAACGGAAAGTTTTGAGGAGCAAATTTAAATTTGTCTCCACAATCTTCCCCACTAAGTCCTGCCAGCATAGCTGATCTTTCAGTCGTAGAACATCTTCACTCTACCAAACGAGTTGCCTAGTATTCAAAATATGAAAGTTTGAAATGGAAGAATTTGAGAATTTGCAAGTTTTTTAAGCAAACATGCCAGAGAGGTCATTTTCCAAACTGAGTGAACCTTGAAGTCAGATAATTTCACCCACTTACATTTGCAGAGTTCATATCTAAGTGGATCCTTTCCTTGTAAACAAACGTTACAGATAACATACATATAAATAAACATTAAATGCAGAACATTCAATAGAGTTACTAGTTGATGCATGTTTCTATTGTTGCTTGAGATGTATGACGATACAGTTTTTACTGCAAAGGGACACATTTGGGAAAAAAATGTCTTTTTTATTGCATGATATGAGGGAAGATACTCACAGCACTAAATGTGGAAAAGACAGGAAACAGCCCCACCCAGAAGAATTTAGATAAAAGTCCAGCATCTGAACATCTTCCTTCCTCTTAGAAAAACTCAGAAAATTCAGAAACATAGAGGTTGTTTTGGAGCTCGACCCGCTACCTTTCATGTAAAGTTATCGTGCATCTGTCGCAGTCGGTGCCGGCTGCAGTCGAGTTTTATTGTATTTTGAATGAATAACAAGAACAACTTTAGCGCACAGAGAAAAGTTTTATTTGTCAAAGGTCTAGATTCTCACCTCCCAAAATAACAAACTAACAGCATCACTGAGTAATAACAGGAAGCCGAGTGTTAGACATCAGATCTGCTTCCTCTTTTGAGTTTAAAGACAAACCATCATTAACACACTCAGATCCTATTACTACAAAGTCATACTGCTAAATGCATCCTGAGACCAACAAACTCACATATCCAATCTACAAACAAACACTTTTCTTGTTTTACTCTGGACTCGACATTAGATCTGTTATCCACCAGTGATAAAACTGTTCTATCTGTAAGGCCGGAGCTCTTGTGATATTCTCCTTGCAGCCCAGAGGACGTGTTCAAGGTCGACTTTATCTCCAAATTCAATCTCTCTGTGCTCCAGAAGAATCCCCTGCAGGAGAAAATCAAAACAAAGTGGGGTTGATCTACACAGAAAAGGAAATAAAAGGAGCATGAAATGTAGTTCTGTCATTAGAAATGATAACAATACATTTATTTGCAAAGCAACTTTCAAAAGACAATTAAAATGAAATATATGAATGAAAATAAGTAAACAGAACAGAAAAACATAACAACTAGATCAGTTTGATAAAAATAAAGAATCTGGTGTGCAGATGTCTGTAAAGGTTTTACCTGCTGTCCTTGACCAATGACGAAGACCCCTCCGAGTACGAAGCCCTCCCCTGAGACGTTTCCAAAGAATCCGTTCCTGATGGCCCTGAGGCTGTTCATCCACACACCGACACGCACAAACCCCAGGGCACCCATCCTCCGCTCACGGGGTCCATAAAACCGCCTCTGCCCGGGACAGCAGACAAACAAGCAGCTTTGAATCATTCATGCAGATCTAAACTGATTTACCACAGTGCACGAATGACTTTTTCCACTTATGAAAAAGGAAAATCTTGGCATCATGAGGGAGCTGATCAAAACAATGTGTCGATTCATTTCAGAAGAAGAAGAAAAAAACTCCCCACCTTTTCGTCTAAGAAGATCTCCCCCTTGAAGTAGGGTTTGAAGTTCTGGATCTCATTGCCGACGTCCTCCTTCACCACAGCGAACAGAGGGACCCCGAGCTCATCCAGCTGGGACCTGAGAGAGGACAGCGCTGCAGCCTCCTGCAGGCGATGAAGACATAAAGAAGATCAGCCAGAACTCTGTTACATTGGCTGAATGAATACCAAAGCACATCAACATATAGGCCTACAGGATGCATGATTATTCTGTGTTCATTTATTTAATGTCATCATTCTCTGGGAGGGTTGTTTCATATTCAGCTGGACAATTTATTACTGTGTTTGTGGAGGTGTCTCGTCTAGTTGTATCTCCTATCTATTTCCTCCCATTTCTTTTTCCTGTTGCTGCCAAGTGTATAGAGAAGAACTGTTATGCTTTCCTTTTCTTTAAATTATCTTCAAATGTTTTTCTCATTCCAGCAAGACGTTGTTTAAACCCACACAACTTTTAGGTTCCAGTGAGATCCAGAAGTTTCCCCAAAAAAGAATTATCTGTCCAGTTGGAAGTTGATGAAAGATGTAGAAGATTTCAAAGTTTCAAATAGTTGGGATGGTGCAAAGATGAAGAAAAAAAAAACATGGAGTATGGGATTTAAAGATTTAAATAGCAAAATAAGTATTTATAACAAAATGTGGGGGAAAAATAGGGAAAAGGGCAAGTAAAAAAATATGTTAGGGTGATAATAAAACTTTTCACGATATTTTCTTTCTCCATATAAGACATTTGAACATAATAAAAGCTTTGTCGAACTTGTAGCTTTCATACATTACCTCTCTGCACAAAAATCATCCAGGTCTCCTCACTGCCATGATGACAGCTCCAGAGTTCTGCCACAGAGATCTGGCTTTCAGGGTTCTTGGATCTGAGTGAAGAAATCAGGCAAAAGGGTGTCAACGAGTTGAGCAACAATCTCAACGCTGCAGTCCAACAACACAATGGCCTGCTCCAAGACAACTTCTTACTTGAGCGATATCTAACAGAAAGTTTGGACTCACCTCCTTGCAGAGTTTTGAGCTCAGTCTCCTCTAAATGTCTCAGAGTTGCCATCAGCGGAAGAGTCAGAAACCTGTCGGTGAAATAATTCATAACACCGGTGATCAGTCCGCCGATTGTCGCCACGGCGTTGGCGATGAGTTCCGTCGCCATTTCTCCTCTTTTAGTATAAATGCATCATCTTCTTCCTCTACAACAGAACCCCTCTCTCTGTGGCTGCACAGCTGCTAACAACGCATTTAAACTCCAGCTAAAATAGATCCTCCCAGTTGTTTTTTTTTTTTGGGACCGAGATACTGATTACATCTGTGTCTGATCAGTGACGCAGTCAGCGAGTCTGCAGCGTGAAACCCGCAAATACTGATTATTTCAAAGTACAGAACTGTGTGTTTGTGCAAAAAAAAAAAAAATGTACCTCCCCCTCCTTCAGTGCAAAGGTCAGGAAGGAAAAGGCAATCTGCAGTCATCCAGCAAAAATATCTCACATGTTGCAAGCTTACACAATTAACACATTTGTTTTCTAAAGCTTGGCTGTACTGTATGCATGTTGCAGAATCTGTCACACTACTAACATGATCTTCACACAACTTTCAGCCCAGTGCTCAGATATGGTTAAATCAGACACATCACAATGAAAGATCAGAGAAGCTAAGATACGAAGAGATAGAAACAAGTGATGCATGTTTATTTTTAACGTTTAGACTTATTTATTTGCACATATATATCCACCACACTACATATACATTCTGGTATTATTTGACCTTCATTGGGATCATTGGACTGTTAAGCAGCACGGATTTAATCAGGATTTGTCTGCGTCTTCATCTTCTTAAAAAGTACCACAAAGCAGAGACACAATTCCTTTACAACTTAAACTATAAGAAATGAAAAGCATCTCAGCATATCCCTTTGTTGGTGTGACTTTAACAGATCATAAATCATTTGTCATATCCACTCGTCATCAGCTGGCCCACAGAGTCTACCTTCTCCTAGACGTCTTCCCCGTCAGGAGGCGGGTCTTCAGATTCCTCTTGAATAGTTAGAGGTCTCTCACTCTCCTCTGCTGTTACATCACTGTCAGCTGGAGCCGAGATATCAGCGGCCTCACTTGTGCGTCGATCGTCCGTCTCCTGAGAAGATACAGTTTTTGTTAAGCATTTAAAAAAACACAGTTTCCCCTGCATGGCTGACTGTGTACTGCTGCTTGTTCTCAACTCAACATGTTCGGCCTCCTCTGGACTATCTTTACAAAATTGTGCAAAGCCAGAAACACTGTCAAACCTTTTCCTCGTCCTGAAGAGATGGAGACACTGAATTCTGCATCTCCTGTCCACTTTCTGTCATCGACTCAACCTGTTATGGAAACAGTGTGGTGTAGAAAATAAGCATATGAGTTAGTACTAAAACCAAAGCCTTACTATCACATACAAGCAGCAAATTAATGCACTTAAGAAGCTTAAACCAGCAAATCTTTTGCTTGAAAAATGACTCAAAATACTTGGTTTCTTGCAGCTTTTAGATGAGTAGATCTGCCTTTCCTCAGCCTGACTCCTGTCTGTATTTTCCTTTCCTTCATTGCACACACACTATCTTCCTTTATCTTCCCAGCTGATGTCTTCTTCCTCCGTCTCAATGCCTTTGTCCACTAGCCTGTAATGTATATCCTCAGCTCTCTTTGTCCTAGTTTTCACTTCTACTTCGATGGCCTTCCTTGCTCTTTATCCTGCAATTCTTGCCTCTTAAAGCTGTGAATGCCGGCGATCAAAATCAGCTGAAATGTATTTTCATCACCTTCTCTGTGTGTTCAGGGTCAGGAGTACGAGGGGTCTGTTTGTCGTGTTGCTCTTCTGTTTTGTTTGTTTGTAAGTCGTCAGCATCTGCACGGGGAGTCGAGTGTAATGCTTCAGTCTGCTCAGTGATAGGTTGATCATCCACCTGCAGTGACAGAATAACACGTAATGTAAACATTTTAGTATTATAAATCTTAAAGTTTTTTAAACTCTGAACTCTGGATTCTTCATTTGTTAATATGGATTAAATCCTTCAGACATAGAGTTTTAAATAAAGCTAATCAAGTGTGTCGTCACCTTTTCCTCTTCTTGGTCAACTTCTTTCTCTTCACTCCTTTCCTTTTCGTCTTCTTGATTGTCACTTGGATTCCCCTCCGTCGTCTCTTCTGCTTCATTGCTTCCTGGCTCGTCTTCAGTCTTTTCATCAGGCTCCTCTGCAGACTCCTCTTTCAGGTCAGAAAGGGAAGAGCTGCTGGCCTTCAGAGGTTTCGTCTCAGGGGACTCTGGATTGGTTACTTGATCTGTAACCTCCACCTGGCAGACACACCATCAGCTTGAACTATTTGAAATGATTGGATGACTATTTTCACACCACAGAAAAGCAAAACCATGCAGTAATAAAAGCACCATAACCCTAACCCTGCTGACAAAGATTTCAGAAAACAAAACCAGAGAAGTGATTTCAAGAGATCAGGAAGGATCCACCACCAGAAGCACACAGATGTAAGATCTACTTTTTTATCACCTCTGGCTCATTTTCCTGAGCTTCAGTTTTTTGTTCATCTCTATCCTGCTTGATTTCTGGATCAGAAGCATCTTGTTCCTCTTCTGTTCCAGGATTGTTAACTTCAGGAGCTACTGTCGGTGCTAGTGTGGATGGATCAGAAGCGTCTTGTTCCTCTTCTGTTCCAGGATTGTTAACTTCAGGAGCTATAGTTGGTGCTAGTGTGGATGGATCAGAAGCATCTTGTTCCTCTTCTGTTCCAGGATTGTTAACTTCAGGAGCTACTGTCGGTGCTGGTGTGGATGGATCAGAAGCATCTTGTTCCTCTTCTGTTCCAGGATTGTTAACTCAGGAGCTACTGTTGGTGCTAGTGTGGATGGATCAGAAGCATCTTGTTCCTCTTCTGTTCCAGGATTGTTAACTTCAGGAGCTACTGTCGGTGCTAGTGTGGATGGATCAGAAGTGTTTTGTTCCTCTTCTGTTCCAGGATTGTTAACTTCAGGAGCTACTGTCGGTGCTGGTGCGGATGGATCAGACGGCTCTGGAGGCTCCTGCTCAGGGATCTGTTGATGTGATGATGTTGATAAACTTTTGAAGGGTCTTAAATTTCATGATAAGAATTCTAAGTCTAATCCAACTGGGGTTTTTTGTAAGTTTGGTACATTACAGTGACGACTTTGCTTTCCTGGACCTTCATCTCTTCTATCTTGATCTCATGTTCCTCCTAGCACTGGATCTTTGCTCGGAATGAACTTCTCAATACAAGGAGGAAGAACTCTGCATCATTCACTGACTAAAGACTAATGCCATAATAGTGAATTAGTTTTACTGACCCTTTGTAATCAGACTTTAATGTTGCTTTCACACATGCACTAAACTCCTGAAAACTCCTGACATTTTCGGGCTGAGCTGCATGTGTGAACGCAAATAGTCAAATTTATTATTCCGACTTTACCCGAACATTTTCCTGCCAGCCCCCTGGGAAACTGTCAGTGTGAAGTGGGGGTGTAGCCAAGTGAGAACGCAGCAGGATGTGAATTGGACGGGAGGTGACATGTATACGCTGCGACTTGTGCACAACCTTATAGCGCTTGATCAGGAGGAATTGCTTCTTTATGTTTTCAGGGAAAGTTTCCCCAAGTGAGGGATGTGTGAACAACCAACTCTGGAAGATTTAGGGGAAGCTTGCATGAACATTTTTAGAATTTTTATAGGTGAATCTGTGAAAACAGCCAAATTTATATCAAACAAAGTCAGTATTATTTGAAAATTAGATACTTCATTAGACTCTTCCACGACCTTACTGATCCTTTGCTCCTCGTCTTTGAGCGTCTCCTCTCTGGCTTCTGCCTGCTCCTCCTCCAGGAGCGACATATTAGCCTTTCTCTGCAAAGATAAAAGCATGTTACTGTGACTTGTTCTGAGACACACCGTATAAGCAGGTTTGATATCTTCACAATAGCCACACGAGCTGTAACATATTTAACCCTTTGACCTTTTAATACGTATGACCCTAATGCGTTTACAGTCCCGTTTCTGTGTTAGCAGTATGTGGATGTGAGCTAAAGGTGAAAGGTCTTTGTTGTCATGGCCTCACTAAGCTTGATGGCTTTACAGGTCTCAGCCTGAGGAGCTTAGGCCGTCTAAGTCTTTGTCAACCTATTGGAGATCAAGGCTTTGAGGTTGTAGAAGAGGGAGTTGAGGTGAGAGCAGAAGTAGATTTACTTAGAGGAGTTTAACAGCTAGTAGCCGTAATATCGAGGAGTTATTCTCCTTAAGGTGTCTGGGTCATATTTTCCAATATCATTACAACCATAACTGCAAAGCATTCATGAGAAACACATCTGATGAGCTATTTTTATATCCTGTGGCCACTGGGAGAAGATGAGCTCACGTCATTTTCTAAAAATAATCTCAAATAAATAATAAAAAATGTTCTTGATTCAGTTTGGCCACTTGGTTGACTTGACAACTGTTGAATATTTTTTATCCCATTTATTCTTCATTTTGTTATTTCCGACACGTGAAAATATAATAATTTAATAAATATTAATTATTGAGCTGTGGAAAAGGAGTAGGATTAAATAAGTTGTATACTTCTTCCCACTCCTTTTCAGGCATATCAATTGAATATATGTAATTTGCTTTTTCTTTTTCTTTTTTTGTGAAAGAATTTGAACTTTGTTTTTTGTTTATTGTATTTTCGAGCTTTTCATTTAGTTTTGTATTTTTGATAAGTTTGATTTTATTTGATATGGCTGAAATAAATGTAATCAATCAATCAATCAATCAATCAATCAATCAATCAATCAATATCTACATATTTTGCTGCAACAGTAAATATTATAAATATGTTCACAAGCTAGTTGCGTACTTTGTCTGATTTGCTGATTACTGTTGATTTATGAAAGCTTTTTATTTTATTTTAGAACTACTCTTTTTTTTCTTGTATGCCATGTGAAAAGTATTTCCTGCGTGTTAGTTGTCTGTTGAGCTGAGCTTCAGGTTTATAAGGGAAGTCCCAAAACTAACCATCCTGGCAGGAGATGGAAAAAGCTCAGGAAACGCTGCTTTCTATACACAGTGTTGTGTAATGCTGCCCCCTACTGGCGACACAACAGTACAGCAGCTCACCTGCGTCTGGTGCTCCACGTTTTCGTTGTGCTTGTAGAGCCAGTGGGCGAGAAACAGGATGGGGTTCACTGGACGCTGCTCGGCCACTTCAGCCAGTCCGTCTGCCAGACATTTCCCCAGGTGTCTTTTCAGATACTCAGAGTCCATAATGATGTCTGCCTGGAGGATTAAACACAAATAAAATAATGTTTAACTATAAAGTAAATAATTATTATTTCTGTAGCGAGTGATTAATAAAAGTTGTTTTATCACAGTATTAACCAAAATACTAGAAGACAAGTGCAGGGTGATTGCCAAAACAAACCTTTTTCACCGAGCGTCCGGATGTAGTGGGTGAGTCTCCATGGTAACGGTGTCCCCGTCAGTAATGTTCCCCCCTCGTTCTTTTTACCATGGTTCCTATCGTGAAGTCAGTATTTCCACTGAACTTTTAAACTGGTTATGCTGCCCTCTTGTGGTTGTACGTGCAGCAAACTTTTTAGGCAGCCACAAAACAATGACGTGATACTTTTATAAATTGCCAGGATAGAAATTGTAAGACGTGTTTCTTTTTCCAGTTATTTAAACAAAGAACATAATTTTCTGTCTTTGTTCTGAAGGTGTTTTTTAATAATAAGTCTTTCCAAGTGGAAGTGTAGATACCGTGTCATTTTCTATTATAGTATTTTTTTATTCAACTGATGTAAATATGTTTGATTTTTAACTTCTATTTTTATTTTTAATAATTATATTCCTGTTTCCTGTTTTCTTGAGCTGCTTTAATGCAAAATCAACAAAGGTGATCTTTATCTCTTTATCTTTATCTTCATATTTAAACAAATCACTATTTTTTTTATTGCAAATGAACCCTACACAAAAAAAAATCCTTTCATTAACCCTTTTTTTTCAGACAAAATAAACGGATGACCTCCTCTGACACATTTTTTTAAATTGTCTCCCTATCTTCTTTTGTAGGAAAGTAAGGGAAAAGAGCCAGATTCATCATCCGATAACCCTGTAAACAACTTTGATCCTGAGCTGTCACAATTATCACAACCAGGTTCCTGACCTCAACATTTATGGCAGTAATTACGTAGCGAATTAACAAAATAGTTTCCCCTGCTGACTAATTGATTGTGTACTAATCAAATTGCAAAATGTGTATAGACATGATTTTTATTTGCATTATTTAGAGTAAGTTCAACACAGTGAATAATAATACATATTAAACGTTTCCAATAGTATCTTCACATAAGAAAGTTTGCAAAGGTCTTACAGGGTAAACTATGTATTTATTAATCATTTAAACAATAAAACAAAAGACACTCTCAATAACAGAGTAAGGTAAAAACATTAGAAATGAAGTTGATAGATAGATAGAATCTTTATTATCATTGTATACAAGGACACAACGAAACTTAGTTAGCAGCAATCCTAAGCAGCAGCATTTACAAAAACAAAAATATATTGGTGGTGATATAAAAGAGAAATATGCAAAAAGTGGCCAGAGCAATTGCTGTTCAGTGAATGAATGATAATAATAATAAATAAATAGACAGTTGGGTGACTGAAAGAATATACAGTTATTATTTTGCAGTGACTGATTAATTAAACAAATGTAAATATAGAGATATAGTGCAAATAAGTGAAGTTATAGCGCAGTGACTGGATGAGTAAATAATTATTAGAGTTATATATAAGTATTTAGACATTAAAGAAGTGTATAATCAGATACCAATAAGATAATAGATTTACAAATGAGAGGAATCTGTGCTCCCTGTTTGTGGAATCTGCAGGAGAGTAATTCCAGCTGAAGGTTTCATCCGTGTTGCTGCACCTGCCCTTCAGCTCAAACAAACCGGCTCATTTAACTTTCTGCTAGAGTTGTGTGCGAGCAGCAGCTACCAGCTGTGTTGGAACCGGGACGCGGTTCCGCTGCAGAAGTGTCAAAAGGTCTGATCTGATCCTACCTGGACTGGACTCCTCCGGTTTCACTGCAGGACACCACTCTGCGTCAGCAACAGCTGTCCTGCAGCCCCTCGCTGGCTGCCACGGGGAGAATTACGTCCTCAGGCTGAGGCTTGACACAAAACTGGATTTGTTTTTTTCTACATTTCCTGGATTCTGTTGGAATATTTTTTGCTTTGCCGTCCGAGGTGAGCTGCCACATGGCTTGTGTTGTCTTCCACGAGTCATTGAGCTGAAGTCCTGCATGAAGCTCAGAATGAAAAGGATTTCTGCAGGTTCATGACTTGCTGTGTTGATTATTTAAGTTGCCAGCTTTTACCTCGATGCTTACTTTTCTCTAGGTGAAACAGTAGAAGAGTTTTAGTACTCTTTTTTTGTGCGATGGTTTGATTTTCTCCATGTGTAACTGTATTGCACTGTTCTTTAATCAACTAACAGAGACCTATTCTGCACTTTAATTTACAGAAATGGTTTAAAAACTTCTCACTACAAGATATTTTTATCTCTGCTCTCGAAACAGCGAAGGAAATCAAATACAAAGACCTGTTTTAATACGAGTGCTTTGTTCCATTAATAAACACAGGCCTGTAATTGAGCTTAGGTCAAATTTGGAATTGGTAGATTTATGACTTCTCGACCGTGCTTATGTATGAGGAAGCATTTGAGTGCCTGTGTCGTGGAGCTGACTGCTCTTGATCACTGTGTTACTACTTAAAATGCCACAGAATGAGGAAAATCAAGCATGAGCATCACAACAGCTACATGTCTTCACCTGCCAGGTTTAATTCCTTCTCCAGCTACTTGGCTTTAATGTCCAGTGTGGACACTTTGCAACCTTCTCAACCCCTCTATGCCTCCTCCCACAGGGGCAAAGTTGTATTTTTAGCTCATGTCTTCATGGTAGATGGGCAGGATACTGTGATGCTGTGGATGCTCAAAGACACTGTTTCTCTGCTGTTAATCCATGCCGCTCACATCAGTGGTGTGGGACTACAGCCTGGCTCCTCGCAGGGGAAGCACATTTTTGGACATAGTGCAAAACATGGAGGCAGGTGTTTAAGCTATCTGCTGCTCTTAAGATTGAAGCCTGAAGAAAAACACATTGTGGATGGGAATCATGAAGAAGGGTTTTTAAGTTGAGTGAGTTTCATCACATCATTTCCCTTAACTAGTTTCGATATCAAATTCAAGGTTAATCCCCCCTGTGTTGAACTCTCCACCGACTTTTTCACCTGTCATCGCTGTGCTTTAAGCACCTTTTGATACATATTTGGTGCTTTGCGTAACCCGTCAAGACGTGTCAGAGGTCTTCTTCTGCCCGAGTGTGTTTGTGTGTGTCGCGCATCACATCACATGTTCTTGGACGCAGAAGGTGTTGGTTTTGAGTTTCTTTCACCAAGTAGGCCCATGTGACTGCTTGGCTGAGCCCCCGCTTTTTTTTTTCTCCAGAGGATTCAAAAGGTGAAATGAGGTTAAAGATGAAAACTTTATTTCCCGCTTAAAAATTCACAACCGGATTCCTCATTTCCCCAATTTTAACTCAAGTGCATTTCTCATACAGTACAGATCGTTTTTTTTCCTCAACAGCTATCTCTATGTGAACCACACAATGTTGATTATTCTTCTGTGTTTGCCACGAGCGGCTCCTTCCTATATGTCTATGTTTTTAAGGACTTGATTGGTGTAATGAATATGATAATAGCTCCCGCTGGTCCCTCACAAGCTGGATGGAATATTCTCCATATCACTTCCACATGTAATCTACTCAGATTACTGAGCAGCAAGCAAAGGCCAAATGGGTCAGTTTGAGTGAGTGGCTATGTGTTTGTAAAGTTGTTTTAGAGACGACATTAAAGGATAACAGAATTTCTTAGTACAGTTAAGGTTTGTATTCTCTTATTAACATCATCATTTAATCCAAAAGAAATACATTAGTAGTGGTTGAATATGTTGTTGGCCTCTGTAAAGCAGACATTGTTTGGCCTATCTGTTGGATCTGTTAGCTATCCAACCATCTGCCTACAGGAGGGAGATTACACTATGGTCTTCACAGCTCTCCGACAGAAGCATACCGCAAATGACAGCAGCTGTCCTCTTTACAGCACCATAATGTCTGCAACTAACTCTAACGTGCACTCATCTGATAAAGACGTCAAAATAAGAATTTGAGCCTCCAAGGGCTTGACCCTGAGTACTGAAGTAAAAAAAAAAGCTGATAATTTCAGTCAACATGCAGCCATGGATTGCAAAATGTACAATGACATGTTAGGAAGAGCAACAGGTGAAGAGGTCTGTTTTTAATATGGCTCCCTATAGGGTTTGAAATATAAGGTTAACTGGTGAGGTGACAAGGTGTTGAAGCAAGCTGGGAGAGAGTAAAGTACACTGTTGTGATTTGACCCCGTGAGAAAACAGAGGGGGGAAAAAAAAGAGCTGCGGCAAATGTCAAAGGACGTGTGGATAAAAGCCCTTGTTTGCCCTGCGGATCTGTTGTTTACAACTTCTCCACATTCCTGGAGGGGTAAGTGCTGCATAATGAGGGGACTGAGACATTTGCCATGTTGACACTCCGCTTGTCTTTGAACTCCAGGCATTTTCAGGGCAGCAGAGTCAAGCCAACAAGTCGTTAAAATTCATTTGAATATCTTTGTCCTTATACTGCGTCATTAATTACAACAGCAGTTTAAAAGTGTTTGGTGAAGATCCCAGCTTTGTTGGATGTTTCCTTCAAAGTGAAGTTTCTGCTCGACTCCCAGTTAACCAGAACGGTCTCAGTATTTTTCATACTGGTATTCTTTAATTATCCGAGGAAGTGCATAAATCCAAAAAGGAATTCTGATGTTTCACTGATCATATTAGTGACTCAAGAAATAGGAACTCTAGTGTGCTAAACGTCTTCACTGTTATAAGAAATGGCACAACCCCTTGGGCTGTATGAACTCATGCTACCCTTGCGACAAAAGCCAAACGCGAGATTGGTTGGTATCCGGAGGTGAGTATTGGCATTCGCATTCCACAGCCGGCTAGTGTAACGAAGAAGTGTCTACATTACCCGGTCTATATCCTCAACCGGAATGTCACAGGTCACATGGGCCTTCACTGACATGCAAGGTGATATATATATTACTGTCGGGGAAGGCTTCTGAAATCTAACATTCCCCTCCTCGTCCCCAGTGAGCCAGCTGTCCACGGAGCGACTGAACGAGCACACTCATGTAATGAGCCGATTGTCTTTAGCCGGGCTCCTTAAGTTAAACTAAACTTAGTTGATTGATTCAGGGATTTCTGTCGATTTGAAGGATGTAGGTAGCATTTAACATATTCCACACGAAACGCCTTTAAATACAACATATTGTAATGTTGCAGATGAAACAAGTGCTGCCTAACCATTTGAACAC